ATTCCATATATATATGCGAAATTAAAAGTTTTACCACTTATCGATAAATTTATCGATTAATATGTTGCAGATGTATGCCTAAAGGGCACTTTTGCTAGTGAAGTAGCTCAAAGTTAGTTATCAAACGTAGTTATCGATAGCTTTTCGTTCAACTATCGATAACTGCTGCATAATCCGCTATCGATCGATTATCGTTTATCGTTTACTTACGTTATTTAAAAACTGCAAATTATATTAAATGAAAGGCAAAGCAATCAGTTATCGATATATTATATCCTATCGTTTTGGGCAACGTAGGTAGATATTTTCAATCAAATTGATGCAAAAGGAAAGAAGCTGAGATATGTATATGCATATCTATCTATCAAGTTATCTATTAATCTATAAATCTATCTGTATGACAATTCATCGATCTAACTATTTAGCCATAAATTAAACTATATATATATTTATCTATGTTAAGCTAATATTCCTTAATTAAAAAACTTGTGATTATTAGATTCACAAAAACTCTTTTGGAAGATCTGTTGGCAGAATGTCTTGCTTAGATTCCTCACAACGATTTCTGTATTTTTCGCGTCAATTGACATTAACTTGCCCAATATCTTTAGATAAACATCTAAATGAAACAAATGTGGTTAATATTTAATAGTATTATTTATTGTTTCTGCTTTAATACTACCCATACTACCTTGATAGGCCATCTTCATCCAGAGATAGAGCTTGGATTGATAGAAAGATATATATATATAGATAGATAGATAGATAGATAGATAGATAGATAGATAGATAGATAGATAGATAGATATATAGATAGTTAGATAGATAGATAGAAAGATAGACAGATAGATAGATAGAAAGATAGATAGATTCATAGATAAATAGATAGTTAAATAAATATATACTTTATATTTATTTTAATATATTCTCCAAGCTCTTCATATATTTTCCAAATTCGAAACAGTTTTATTTAAATTTGTATCTGCCCGTTCTACTGAAAATATTGATTTACCAAAATATTTTCATACGGAATTTGCGGGCCAAATTTCAGCTGCATCCAAAATTGGCAACAAGCAAATCTGGTTAACTAAATCCAATGATTGGGGCCAAAGCTTTTTATGCTTTGCAGATGAGTCTTTCACTTTGAATATAAATATTTTTGAACAAAAAGAATTAAACTTAAATTTCGGGCTGAAAGCCATGTTAGAGCCTTGGCAACACAGTAAGAATTTCAGTTTTTGAACTCTTGCGGATTGAGCTGCGCATTGATCATCAATCAGTCAATCAGTCAATCACTCAGTCAGTCAGTCAATCAGTCAATCAGTCAGTCAGTCAATCAGTCAGTAAGTCAGTCAATCAGTCAGTCAGTCAATCAGTCAATCAGTCAGTCAGTCAGTCAGTCAGTCAGTCAGTCAGTCAATCAATCAGTCAGTCAGTCAATCAGTCAGTAAGTCAGTCAATCAGTCAGTCAGTCAATCAGTCAATCAGTCAGTCAGTCAATCAGTCAATCATTCAGTCAGTCAATCAGTCAGTCAGTCAGTCAGTCAGTCAATCAGTCAGTCAGTCAGTCAATCAGTCAGTCAGTCAATCAGTCAGTCAGTCAATCAGTCTGGAGCTGGCATGTTTTTATTGATGGCATAGATAAGGGTATTTGGAATTGGATATTCTGCCCCATTTTGAGTTCCGCTCTAAACGCAATTTGAGCCTTGCAGTTGGCCCCTTGTTGCAACGGCTGTTGCTGCCCCTCGCAAATTTGCGTGTCTACAAAAGGTAATTCAAATGCCGACGGCATTTTATTGGCCAACAACACCAACAAACGCAACAACAACAACAACGAGGACAACAACAGCGCGTTGTTGTTGCGGCTGATACGTTTTTTTTTATTAATTGAAAAGTTAATTAAAGGTGATAAAAATTATACATGCCACCGATTTTCGCGCTGCAGGCGTTCGCCAGCAACAGCAACAGCAACAACAACAACAACAAGAATGGACAATGGACAAGGCAGATAAAAAAAAAACACGTTTCAATTACATGTACGCACACATATGTAACTGCTCCGCTCGCGAGCTGCTTGTGTGTGTGTGTGTGTGTACTAATTACATATGTATATGTAATGCCCAATTTGCGTACAGTCTATTAAAGCCTTTGATGCTGTTCTTATATGCACATGCAGTATATACATACATATGTACACACATATGCATGCATACACACACACACACACACGCAAAATGCGTAAATATATGCCGTAGCGCTTATAGATTCGAATATGCCTGCCCATTTTATCAATTTTAAATACAGGGCTCTGCTTTTACGCACAGCATTTACAACAAGTTGCCGTTTGCAGAGCTCGCGCTCTCGCTCTCTCTCTGTCTCTCTCTCCCGCTCGCTCGCTGGCCCGAGCAGAGGCGTCGCAGCCGCCGCTGACGTTGCCATAGTTTGTGCACTGAGCCAAGTGAAGAGAGCATTGGACATGGACAGCGAGAGCGGGAGTGTGCGGGGCGTGTGGGCGGCATACATATGTATGTGCAGGTGTGAGCGAGATAGAGCAAGTGCGCAGCATGGCAAGTTAATTAAATCCTCATGTATTAATCACGGCACCTACCATCACCGGCCTCCCCCTCGCGCTCGCCCGCGCCCGCGCCCTTCTTTGCCACCATGATGACGCTCTATTAATCGCCATCGCCGCAAACAAACTCGTTGGCCGTACGTCCTGGCGTCTGTCTCTCTACCTCTCTCTCTCTCTCTCGCTCTCTTGTCAGACGTCGGCGTCGCTGTCCGGCCGTCTCCGTTTCGAGTTTCCAGTTTCGAGTTGGAGCTGCAGTTCGAGTCTCAGTTTCAGTTTCAGTCTCTGCGCTTGCGTGATTCTGATGGCAAATTAATTCCTGGTAATTTGTTTTGATGTGATGTGCGACTTGAAATTGATTGAGATTGTGTTGTTGTTGCTGTTGTTGTTGTTGTTGTTGTTGCTGCTCTGGCTCGGGCCAATAACAGCAACAACAACAACAACAAAGACAGCTGAGAATTTATTAAAGCAGCAGCAGAAATCAATTTTTATGCTCAGCTTTATTTTTGCGCTTTGCTTTTTTGCTTTTTCGTTGTAGCTCTTCTTCTTCTTGCTGCTGTTGTTGTTGTTGTTGTTGTTGTTGTTGTTTTTGCTCATTTTTAGCACTTTTGTAGCCCTCTTCGCCTTCCTTATGCATAAATCATAAGCCATAGCCCAGACACACAAACACACATACACACACACACACACACACACATACATAACTTTCAATTAATAAACTATTGTTTATATTAATAGATTTGTTGTTGTTGTTGTTGTTGTTGTTGCTCTTCGCACGCTGCTCATAAATTTAATTTGTTTGCACAATTAATTTTAAGCCTCAATATAATAGAACGCAAATTCGACAAGAAGAATAATAAATAAATGAAAACAAAAATTCGATTTATTTTGAGCTCTGATTCCGCGAGTTGAGCTGCGGAACCAGTTCATTTGAACTTGTGCTCAGTCGCGTGGGCAATCTGTGGCATAGCTGAACTAGTTTCATGAGCGAACTATAGTTGGACAGATAAACCCAATCAGATAAACTTAGTCGGTTGTATGCCGACAAAAAAGGGAAAATACATTTAATCAGATTTGCAAATAAAACTAGCTGAACTAGTTCACTTGCCCCGTCGACTATTCGACTATGATTCGTTTCTTAAAGCTGAACTAGTTCATTTGTTTTGTTAGATTCAATTTTTATTCGTTTCTTAAAGCTCGACTAGACCATTAGTTCGTTTCCTTAAGCTCAACTAGTTCATTTATTCTACTTGATTCGATTTGGATAAGTTTCTTAAAGCTCAACTAGTTTATATGTTCCGTTTGATTCGATTTTGATTCGATTCTTAAAGCTCAATTAGTTCGCGTGTTGCTTTTGATTCGTTTCTTAAAGCTCGACTAGTTCGCGTGTTGCTTTTGATTCGTTTCTTAAAGCTCGACTAGTTCGCGTGTTGCTTTTGATTCGAATTTGATTGGTTTCCTTCGTTTGTTTTGTTAGATTCGTGTTTGATTCGTTTCTTAAGGCTAAGCTTGTTCATTTCTTAAAGCTTTCTTAAAGCTCAGCTGATTAATGTGTTTTGTGTCAGCTTATGGGTTCGCTGATTTGAGCTCGATTGCTTAAACTTCCAATCATGTCCATCCACCCACTTAAATTGCAATCATATTTAACTAAGCTCAGCTGGAACTTTGCATTGCACCTGCAGCTGTTTCTTCAGCTCGGGCAGAGATTGCAGCCGAGATACGAGGATGGGGCAGCTAGGCTCGCTCGCTCTCACACGCACACGCACACGGACCCAGGGTCCAGGGTTGCACGCCCACTCGAGGTGGACGTCGTTCGTAATCAAATTAAGTAAATTACAAGCTCTCAAATGTGCAAGACTCGTGTTTTACCTCGCTAATAACTGCCGAAAAGCAAAAGTTTCGGCCAGATACCAGTTGTAAGCCCCCAACTCCGCATACCTTAACCCCCCCCCTGCAGTCAACATTGTGGCAGCCTCGAACCTGAACAACTGCAAACTGATCGTGCGATCAGTGAAAGGAGGGAACCAACACGGACCACAGCGCAAAGCGCAGCCACAACTTAAGAACTCAATTTGAAGCTTTAGCTCGCACTCGGACTCTGTCTGGCCACAGCAGAGCTTTCTCTCTCGCTCTCGCTCTCTCGCGCTCGCCGTGCTGAGCATCTGTTGTGCGCTGGCTGATCTTTGCCGCGCTTCCTTTCTAAATTGATTTTGAAAACAAAATGATCGTAAATTTTGATCGCCTTTGCAGCCTCTGCAAATTACTGAGCTTTTGCTCCGAAACTGAAACCAGACCCGCCCTGATCATCAGTTGCTGTTGTTGTTGTTGTTGTTGTTGTTGTTGTTGTTGTGCCTTGGCTTTTATGGGCCTTGATTGAGTTGTCATATTTTATTACCGAAAATTTTAGACAACGCCACAACGACTTTGACTCGCAACCGCAGCGAAACGTTTCATTTGCCGTGGCGAATTGCGATCGTCGGCGTCGGCGTCGGCGACGTTGACGTCTGACACAGACGCTGGCTGCGACGCCGACTGCGACGATGTCGGCACATACGCTTAACACCTGTGTTCGCTCTTGCTTGCAGTCGCTCTATGTGTGTGTGTGTGTGTGTGTGTGTATGTGTGTGTATGCGCATGTGTGTGATATTCAGGTGATAATATGCCCGCCATTTTCGTAATGGAAAGTAATTATTGTTTGCGGCAACGAATTACAGTAATCGTCATAAAATGTTTCCCCATGACTGCCTACAGCAAACCAGGCGAGGGAACGCCAACAACCAGGCAACCAGGCCCAACACCAAGACCCAACAATCAGCGGCAGTAAACAGCAACAGCAAAAACAACAACAGCAGCAACAACAACAGCAGCAGCAACAACAACAACAACAACGAACAACAGCCGTTGTCCGTTGTGCCCTGCTATAATCAAGGGAAATAACATTTTCAAGCAGCGTTAAAACTAACATTAATTATGTCCGAAACGAACAAAACGATCAGCGAGAGCCGGAGAGGCAAAAAGCGAAGCCACTGGAAGGAAGGCAAAGGCAAAAGGAAAGCAAACCAAATTGGGCAAAACTTTCAAAGAGAGCCAGTGTGTGAGAGAGTGCGAAAGTGCGCGATTGCATATTGGGCAACGGTAAGGTGCAGTATTGTGTGTGTGTGCGAGAGAGAGAGAGAGAGAGCGGCGGCAGCGGGTGTCTGCGATTGATTGTTATTGTTGGCCGTTGGAACGCAGTGGCGCCCTCTAGCGCAAGATTCGAGCAGCGAATGCAGAGCGCAGGCCAAATGGCAGTAAAATGAAGAAATTGAAAAAAAGTCAATGTGCAGCAGCTGAAGATGGACAGCGGATGCAGCGGCAGCGGCAGCGCCGTACGCGAAACATTGCTCCAGAGTTACGCCCCAGACAGAGCAGTCGCAGGCGCAGGCGCAGCAGCGATGCAGCTGCAGGCGGGCAGCAACAATGTTGGAATTGAGGACTGGAACTGCGACTGGGATGTTGTGCAGTGGCAGCGACGCCAACGCCAACGCCAAGCCAGCCCAAGCCGAAACTAACGAGCGAGCGAGCGAGCGAGAGCGCAACAACAAGCCGATGAGGGAGCGAGCGAGCGAGCGACGTTAATAAGAAATTAATGTCTTGATCATTTTCGATCGTTATGTAAATCAATCAGGCAAATTATAGCTCAGGGGCTTGCCACAATAATTAGACCCTATTCGTAATGCAGCCGCAAAGGCCAGGGCGACCAACAGAGAGAGCGAGCAAGAGGTAAAGACTGAGAGAGAGAGCGAGTGCAAGAGAGAGCGCGAAAGAGCGGGAGCAGCAGCCAAGACAGCGTTAAAGGCCTCGATAGTCATGGCGTGCAGACGACGCAGACGCTGACGCGCCCCTCGAACGTAGGGCATAAGAAAATGCAAAAAAAAGAAGAGGAAACATTTTTGCTGGCATGCAACGCCTTGATGTCTTCTTCGGAGCTGAAGCTGGAGCCGACGTCTTCATTAAAACAACAAAACATTTATGCGCCGCTTTGCCATGTCGCTGCCCGCTGCCCGCTGTCCGCGTCGATCGCGGGCAGCGATCGTTCTTTGAGAGCTTTTCGTCAGAGCGGACCCGGGGCTGGGCTGGGCTCCAGCTCCAGCTCCAACTCTGGGAGCAACGTAACAAGATGCGTAAAAATTATTGATTTTCCTTGACTTGATTGTTGTTGGCTATCAAAATTTAATCATAACATGCAACACGAGACCAGCGAGAGGCAGAGACAGACAGGGGGGGGGGGGGGGGGGGTGGGGTGGAGTGGGGCTAAAGGATCGGCAACATGTTGGCAAGTTAACCACCTGAATTTTCAATTTTGCATCGCGCAGCAGCGGCAAGTAATTTGCTGCGTTGACGTGCCTGGCGTGGCAGATGAGCAATGACCCGGCACCCGGGCTGCCAGCAGTGGCAGCGCCAAGTGCTGGAGGGGGAGGGGGGGGGGGAGGAGGCTTGGGCTTGTGTGTGTGGCAGATTACATACGCGGCCGCTGCTCTTCGTGTCGATCAATTCATTTTAATGCAAACAACTCATATAAATTCATGTGCAACTTGGCAGCTGACGCGCCAGTTCGCCAGATCGCCAGATTGAGGTGAACACTCCCCTCCGCTACCCTTCCCTACCCTCACCTGTGTCAGTCCACTCGGGTCAGTCCACTCGGCTGTTGGGCCGCTGCCAATTACCGTCGTGGCAAGTGCAAAGAAATTCATTAATTTAAGTGCCACACATTTGTTGCCCACTGTGCGAGCGAGCACCCCTCCCCCTCTCCTCCCCCTCCTGCCCTACCTTACCCGCGTCTGCTTAGGGAATGGGTGTGTAAATGTATTGCAAATGTAATTGCAGCAACCGCTTAACCTGGCCAATTACATGCCAGCCAGAGCTGAGGAGGCATCAATTGTGCCTTAACCCTCGACCCAAGCCTTGTTCCTATTTAATCTTCAATTGAGGAACAAAATATTTAAGAAAAGTGAACAGCTCTGCAGAAATTACCCGGCGTTCTGCGTGTGAGAGTAGAAAACTGTCTTTTTATTTGCCAATAACAATTATTATATTATAATTTTAGTTTAAGAAACAAATATATGGTCCTCTCAGGGGTTCGAGCCATCGACTTCGTGCGCAATGGTCCGACGCTCAACTCCCATTGCGAATCATTGCGACTTTTTGTTGCCTGCCAAAAAAAAACGAAAGCATTATAGTTTATAAAATTGATTTATTATTTATTTGTTCAAGATAATTTGTTGTAAGTTAAAGACATATAATATTTGCATAGAAGGAGACATCTCCGATTTCATAAAGTTTATATATTATATATTCTAGATCAGGTCCATCTGTCCATCTATATGTCCGTCCGTCCGTCTGTCTGTCCGTCCGTCTGTTTATTATCCAACCTGGGCATGGGTTCGACTTTCTGCTGCAGGCAGTACATATATCGAATCGGGCCACTATATCGTATAGCTGATATAAGAACGATCTGTCAAAGAGTAGGCAGGTAGGAACTCAACAATTACGATCTTCACTATTCTCACATATCACAAATATATATTGTTGCTGAGTTTGAACCAGCGACACCTCGCTTGTTAGTTCGATGCCTCACATGGAGATCGTATTTTCAGCCCTTTCATTTAAGAATGGAATGAATATATATATATATATATATATATACTTAATATATGTATTTTTTTATATATATAGTTTAATAACAAATTGTATAAAATAATCTATAAATATTATAAATACCCAAAGTCTAGTTTCTTGAGAATAAATTTCTTATAGATGATAAATGTTTTGATAATATATGCAAATATAACTTTTGTAGGTCTTGCCCGAGTTTCGAGATGCCTTCTTATTGAGGCTCTCCGAAATTCCCACGTCTCAGATTCGCCGAGGGGTGGCCAGGGGGGAGGGGGAGGGGGGGTGCACGGGCTGGGCTTTTAGCGTGCGGTGTGCAAACAATTTAACACACTCCAAAGTTGCAGACGCAGCTCTGGACTCTTGAACAATTCATCAAAGTGAAAGAACAGCAACAACAACAACAACAACAACAACAACAAGAACAACAACAAGCAGCTAAACGACTTTGACAGGCAGTGAAAAGGGGCAGGGAAAGGGGTTACAACAAAAAACAAACCAAGGCAACAAAAAAAAAACAAGACAGGAGAAACAAATCGAATACCCTGCAAAAAAAAATAGGAGGGCGCGTGGCTGACTTAACGCCCTGTTTTGTAGTTGTTTATGTTTTTTTTTTTATTTTGATACAAGCAGCGCGGTGGGCTGAGGGAGAAGGGTGGGGGGTGCTGGCTATGCCGAGGGTCGCATAATTAGCAGCCCTAATGTGTGTGCTTGTATGTGTGTGCGTGTGTGCGTGTTTGTGTGTGTGACCTAACGTTATGTTTTTTCTGCCCCTCATTTTTTATAACCTGAACACATTATAAATGGGTGAAAAGGGTATATTGGTTTTGTGCAAGTGCATGTAACAGGCAGAAGGAAGCAACTCCGAGCCCATAGAGTATATATATTCTTGAACAGCATCAATAGCCGAGTCGATCTAACCATAGCCGTTCGTCTTGCTGTCCGTCGTCTATCCGTCCGTCCATCCGCTGATTCACGCGTCCAACCGTCCGTCCGTTTGTCCAACTTTCCGTCCGTCCATCCGTCCGTCTATCCGTCCGTCCATCCATTCATCTTGCCCTGCATCTATCCATCCGTCCGTCGTTCCGTCTCTCTGTTAGTTCGTTCCTCCGTCCATCTATCCGTCCGTTCATCCATATTAATGATTACGTCGATGTCGGAACCTCTTAAAGCTAGAAAGATTTTGAACGTAGTGCCCGGGCAGTACAAGTTCGTTTTCGATAATCGATAACTTGCTGCGTTTTCAAGCAATCGATAAAAATCGTTATAGAAATCCCGTTTTTTTTTTTAGCAAATCTCTTGCTTTGTAAGGGCTAGAGTCTGCAAATTAAATGAAGTAACTTTCATTTCATAGATCGAGCTTCATTTGGTTAGAAGAGGCTTCAGGGTATCGCCTAGTCGGGCACTTCCCACCAGAGCGCTCTCACTTGTTCTTACTGCGCCTCTGCGCCTCTATTTGACTTGCATTTTTTGTCAGTTTGTTCCAATTTTTTTGTCCGTTCAAAATGGAGAGAAAAAAATAATGCAAAAAGCAAATCAAATCATGTGACAAGCTTCTAATGAACCTCAAAAGGTGCCACGACCCGGTCCGAGGCGGCCTTTTGACAACCCCCACGTCAGACATTTGTGTGGCCTATAAATGCTAATGAGCCCAACGTTTATTCTACGTTTTTTTTCCATTTTCCATTTTATATTTTTTATTCGACTTTTCTTTTTTTTTGTGCATTTTACCCACGTTTTTTATTGTTGCTGTTGTTGCTAGTTAATTTTTTTTATAGATTTTTATGGTGATTTTTTGGGCAATTTTTTGTGGGTCGTTCGGCTGATTCTTGTGGGACCAAATTTACTGCTGCCACTGCTGCTGCTGCTGCCACTGCTACTGCTACTGCTGGCAGTAGTTCTGGCGCTGGTTCTGTAAGAGATTTGATTCGCCTTTTGCTTGGCCCCGAGGCGGGTAGTTTTGTCCGCTCAGCGTTATGGTCATGAGCCGTGTTTTATTTTTCTTTTCTCCCCGAGGGCCGCAGTTCAGGCCAATCGCCCCCTTGCTTCCTCTCTGTCTCTCTCCCCCCCTCTCTCTCTCTCACTCTCGCTGTCGCTGCATTTGGTTCCACTTGAGTTTGTTTGCTTAACGACCTTTGAAATTAGCCAAAACTAAGGGGCAATAGGCGTTAGATGGACCCAATGCAGCAGCCCGTAGATTAGACACTGTCCGCAGAGTCTGGCAACAACAAAAGCGACAATAACAATTTATACTATTTATATGCAAATTTGCAAGCGCCTCGCAACTGTGCACCATTTGTTGGCCTAATTAAAATTGGGCTACCCATTTTTAATTAGGCCAAAATACAAGGAACAACAAACAGATTTATATGTAGGCAGGTACGAGCGGCATAATGAGAGAGAGAGAGAGAGAGAGAGTGAGAGACAGAGAGAGAGATAGAGAGAGAGAGGAAAAGATAGAGTTCTGGAGTCTGGAGTTCTTGCTTGTCAGCCGAAACGCTTTGCTAATTCAATACCCTTTGCGGGTCTTACCATGCTTCGATATATCCTAGCAGCAAAGTCCTGGGAGAAAACAAAACACATTCGAGAACTAGCGAATATTTTAGTACGAGATTTAATACAGTACAGGCGAAAAAAATAGCAAGAACTACTAAGCTAAATGTTTGCGAGAGAACAGACGAGAGAGTGGGCCTATCTTCGGCAGGCCGAAGACCTAATACCCTTGCAGACATTTCCCTTTCGCAAATATGTGACTAAAGTGAAGCTCGTAAGTGCTACCTCAGCAAATATTCCAGTTCCTTTCATATAGAAGGCATTTTTATAATCGATAATTATCGGTTTTGTGGAAGTGGAAGGACTAACTACGGAAAGAAAGTACAAGCTCGTGCTGCGCCTCTACGAGCATATATATTTCAAATCTTACTTCTCCAGGTTTTGTAGTTCCCGAGTTACAGACGGGCAGGCGGACTTGGCCAAACGCAGCGCGTCCTGATTAAGGATATGAACGCCATTTGGAATCGGAGTTGCTTTCCAATTCGTACATCGATTTCCAAGCTCAACTTCGGTTCCTGAATGTTTTCCTCAAGACCTTAAGTCGCATAACCCTCTGCTGGGCAGCTCATTGATTATTTGGTGGCCGTCATAATTTCGGTGCTCGGCCTTATCAAATGCCTGTCCATTATCTGATTTAGTACCAGCCCCTTTTAACTTCGGCTCTGACACGCCCAGCCAGGCAGCGAGGCAGCGAGGCCAACGCGTCCACAGCTTCCTATCGATTATAGTTAATATATGAAGGCGCTTGGTCTGCAAATTAGGGGCACAGACCCCAAGCAAAACTATGCCACAGCTGAACGCGAGCGCGAGACACACAGAGAGAGAGAGAGAGAGAGAGAGAGAGAGAGAGAGGGAGAGGGGGAAAGTCAGAAAGTCAACAGAAACCATAATTCAGATAATTTTATTTATAACACCCTTGAGGAATTATATTTTATTTACTCTTTCAAGTGTGATGATGAGGCCGCTGAGCCAAGAGCCGAGATTCGTACGAATGGACAAGGA